AAAACGTACATAAAGTCTCTTTAACTGGTTCAATCATACAGAAAACTCGTTTGTACATTTATGGCCAAACATTTTTGATCTTTATGCTGTTGTATGGTATGTTTGGTGGGTTGTGGATTAGCTGGGAATGTGGCGCTAAATAGGCTTAAATTGGAGGGAGCTGGACTTTTTCTTAGTTCTTTTGAAAACATGAACACCTAGCCAGGGGTCCTTATCAATTCTTAAAATATACTCATACTCCAGCATAAACCTTATATCAATCCCAAATTTTTGGGAAGGACTCCTGAAGCGCTTTCAGGAAAAACTGAGAGAAATTCTGGTTCTCTCTGATTTAAACCTGTTTCATGGTCGACTAAGATCACTGAGAATTTGCACATTCTTTAAAACGCTGATTCCAATATCTGGTGTTTGTAAACAGTGCTACAGACATGATTCAATCACACTGTTTCAAATGGGATTTATAAACACCACTTGATAAAATCAAAATGTTGGGCAGTGTTTTTCTAATCTGTGGTGTCAGCAGTGTTTCGTAATTCAGGTTAAAGCACCAGTTAAAGCTTGGTTTATGCATCCGTAAGGTCAGTGCGGCCAAATTATGTCATTTTGTTTCTTCTACGCCGCTCTGTGCAGAGCACTTGGGAAAATTTGTAACCATGCGGACGGATCTGTGCCGCAAAACATGGCAAGTGAGCAGCTCCTGCTGGTGAGGGTTCACAAATGCAAACATCTTGAGACAACCCGTGATTTAGCTTATAAATATCACCACTATCGACAAATTGTGGAAAAACTTCAGGAAACAAATTGCCGTTACTCTCAAAAGGAATGAAATTGACTTAACAAAATTATAAATGGCTATGGAGATTAAACCTTAAACTCTGTAAAGCACAAGAGTCTATAAAAAAAATATATATTTTTTAAACCTTTGTTTTTTAGGATGTAAAGTACTACATTTATGTAGTGTATATGTACTGACTAGAATATTTCTAACATTTCAACATCTTCAAAAAGCAAAAAGCAAATGCATTTTTGACACATACCAAGGTTTGGATTTGCAGTATTTTTCTCCAATCTACTGTTCATAGTTAGAACAATGTCAAACAGTTTTTTTTTTTTTTTTTTTTATGACATCAAAGCAAAACCCTTTAAGCATGCACTGTGTGATATTTTCAATCGTTGCACGCAGCTACAGCTCAAACTGTACGACAGAACTGCAGGGTTTAAAAGTTCACAGCTCACTATTCATGTTCTTGCACTGCGCTGCCCTACGCTCTGATGCGAACTTACGAAGGCAGACTGAATTTTAAACATGTTTTATTTTCTCCTGACCTCACGATTCCTGATCGGGAGGTGGCCGTGAGAGGCTAATTGCCCTGCGTTACCCCCCTTGTAGTACATGATCCATGACGAGGTTGAAACTCTGCCCGATCGAAAAAGTCGCATGACTGGAGAATTGGCCCGAAAAGGGCTAAAAAGTTTTTACCATGCAGCCAAGCTTTAGGCCAAATTTACACTGAATATCTACAAAAAATTAGTGTGAGGAGTTAAGCTACTCTTTAAAAAGATATATGCAATTTCTCCTCACATAAATAGCTTTGTCAAAATTTTAGCTCTGTCAAGCGACACTACTATAGAGCTTGTTATACACTTAATTATTGGCGTGAACAAACTAGCCAGTAGAGGACAGTGTTGAGTTAGCTTCCGAATTAAGAGGAAAAAAATTAAATGTGACAGTAGATGGAAAACTTAATAGCAAACATTTGGTCTGGTCAGCCTATAAATACTTCAAAGTATGTAGATGTGGAAGTTCCCCTACTTCTATCCTTTCTTCTTTCATTGTTTATTACCACTATACCAGCTATACCAGAGGTCCCCAAACTTCTGACCCCAAAAAATGGCTCCCAAGTTGACCCACATTATTGTTTGACTCTATAAACATTTCTACCAAATCGATTACCTATGTATGGAATAATATTAACAAAACTAAAATTAACTAAATTAATAGAGGCTGTTTGTAAATATATTGACAATTTTCAAATGTTTGAGGTCTATAACATAAATGTTAACTGTTTGGTTTAATTTCTGTAGTGAAACCTAAGACCCCATACTGGTTGATCACAAACCCCTAATGGGGTCACGACCCCAACTTTGGGAAACAAAAATACTGCAATGCACCTCCCAATTAATACAGGTGGCATTGCTGTGCTTGTTATTATCCGTCTACTGAAGATTCACCTAAAAATTAAAGACTCTCTCATTTATTCTGCTGTCTCTTTTTCAGCAGCAGCGGTTCTGTGAAGGCAGCGGGGAATATTCTGGATGACATCGGCAACATGTTTGATGACCTGGCTGACCAGCTGGATGCCATGTTGGAGTAACGCCTCAGCTTATTAGCTTTTTTTCCAAAGCCAGCAACAGATGGGCAGCTGAAACCATCACCTTTTGATGCACCTTGGACCGAAAAGCTCAGCTCCCTCTCAGGTCTTCTGGATGAATCATTGGAGGCACATCTGAGGATTTTTCCAGAGCAGTATTTTGCAATTTTGATTTTCAAACCTAAGCACTTGGCCTCAGGACACAAACCTGGGAATATTCCTGGATGGACAAGAAAAAAAAAAAAGAACAGTAGCTGAGAGCTTAGGCTGAAGACTTTAGTTCAATATGTGATGACTTAAGGGAAAGAGGGTCCATCATACATGTAAATACAGAGAAGTATCTAGCCCCATCTCTTTTTACTGGATATATTAGAGCTATATTTATACTTAAAATGTTTTTTTTTTTAACATTAATGACAGAATTAGTGTACATAATTCTATGTATATTTTGCAGCTTTATATCATTAACATGTTTGATGTATAGAAAAAAGTGATAGGTGTGACATTTTTACCAAAGTTTTCCCCTCCAATCTTTGCACTATCAGTAATGGAATTAAAAGGCTGCTCTGAACTTACAGCCGGGATTATTTTACAGTTTCCTTTAGGGTGCTAAGGAGAGGATTCACTGTTAGAAAGCTGCTTCCAAAGAACGGGTAATGCCGTCTTTTATTTCCTGCATTTTAGCTGAGGTCAGTACGTCTCTTGGGACGCTGGGAATGTTCTGCATTAAACAATTGAATCTGTGCACAGGTGGATGGCTAAATTGTGTCTACATTTTTATTTTTTAAATAAAAGGCAAGATATTTAAAAAGTACTGAAAGTAATTTGAACAATTTTGTCTTAATGTGTTGAATTTCATGTTCTAAAATGATTACCGGTATTTTAAATGAATAGTTTCCTCAAACTGCTTTTCATGCTGTCTCAATCCCATAAAGGGAATTTTCTCGCTTTATTTTTGAGTTTTCATTAAGCCTGTTTCAAATCCTGCCAGCATGTGGCAATGTAGCTACCGCTAGTTTTAGAATTAAACATAATGACAGAGAAACAAGCATAACTTTTCTCATGTAAGATAATGACTTTGACTGATGGAGATTAGAGATTGAGAGAGATTTGACTGAAGCGGCTGACTTTATGATGTCAAACCATAGTTCATTTATTAGAGCGTTTTTTGTAATTACTGCTGTGATGGAGAATATTTCTTAAATATTCACTGTGAAGCAAACAGGTTTCACTACAAGGAACATCAACCATCTCTCCTGTACTGAGCAGCTAAATTTACAGGAGAATAAACACAAAGTGTCTCATTTAATCCAACATATATTACAGATTACTGGAAATACTTCTTGGTTCCTACTTTGCCAATTACTTATGGGGGTTTGCGGCTCTTGTATTTGGATAAAATGTTTCTCTTCTCTTTTAACATGAATATTTTTAGTCAACTTGTGATCAGCATTCATTGCTAAAGGATAAATATTCCTGTGCAAGTCGAAAAGTCGCTGGGATAAGCCGTAACCCCACACATGGACTTGTCATGGATGTTTAGTCCCTCGGATTGTTTGTTTGGGATATCTAGGAAATCATCTTCCTTTCAAAGATTAATCAGTCTATGCTTGATGCTTTTCTGACCCTTCCGGTCAGAAAGCTGTAGTTTTAATACTCTTTAGATGAGGTGATCCTGCTGTTTTCTTGCCAATCGTGATGCCCAGAAAAAAATCCTCAGAGGTTATCTGAGTTCATTTTATTCACTGAAAAAATGTCTGCAAGCACCTTTAAAAAAAGAAAAAACTAAGTACAAAGGTGCAGGTTTAGTAAGTTATAGACTTGAATTTATATTTAATTACAGCTGTATGAAAGGTTTGTTTAAATTGTTTTTTTTTCTAGAGCTGAAACAAATGAATTTTTTGCATACCGATTAATCTGTCGATTAACAGAATAATAATAATCGGATAGCAAAAGGTTCCTCAAAAACAATTTTTTTACAGAATTAAACCAGGCGAAGCAACAACTTTTCCATGGATAGAACAAATTGACAGACTTTTGACAGATTTTGATCTTAAATGCAAAATAATATATATTTTTTTTACGTTCTTGGTATAACTGCTGCTCAAGGTGGGTTTCTCTATCAGCTACAAGCATGTTTTAGAGCCTCTACACTCCAGTTAACGATTAATCGATTACTAAATTAGTTAACGATTATTTCAAAAATGATTAATCGGATTGTTTCATCCCTAGTTATTTAATTATATTTATATTTTTAACTTCCTCCCACAATAGTGATTTTATATTTTAATTTAGAGATTGTTAAGATGTTACACTTTTTGTTTTATTGTATATTTATGTTTTTAACACCAGTTCAGCAACTTGTATTCCAAATTGAACCACCTAGAAATTGGATATCTTTGATTTAAAAAAAGCAATAAAAAGTGAATTATTTTGGTATATTTTCTGAAGGATTCCAGTCTGGATATAAAAAACTTGGTAGATCTCATCAGGAGGATCCATCTACCTACTGCACACATTAGGTCAGTAGATCTATAGTAGAGCAAACAAAAGAGAAGAAGCCAAGTAAAATGTTGCTGAATGCTTCATGACCTTTGATGGACATTACAACACAGACTCGGGTGTTTGATCCAAATGCTATATTTTTCATTATTACATTCTACGTCACAGAAACATCAGAATAGTTTGGTTTTTTTGTTAAAAACAGAAATGATTTCAGCAGAATCAACAGAATTCACAGGAATGTTCCAGACTTTTACTTCGTCAGTCCAGCTAAAACGTCCTCTCAATCCGCTCCGTGTATTTACATGCTTATCAAAAACAACAATAATAATCTCCTATCTCGGAATCAGACATCAGAACATAAAACAAAAAGGTCCCAGTAGTTACCGACTGGAGGAAATGTTTGTTGATTCACTTTCGATGCAGAATCTGCCAAGAATTACTTTTCCCCGACACGCTCCTCATCATGAGAAACAGGACGGAACTACTTTCTCTCCTTAATATATAAACATTCATCTCTGTGTGAAATGCTGGCAGTCCAGCAGTCATTAAAACATGAAAGAAAGAAACAAAAGTGGCAAATCTCTAAATTAAAACAATAAAATCATGACGTAATACTGTTAAAAGTGGGTTTAAGATGTGTTGCGTTCATGTCTGCAGCAGACGCACACGGAATGAGAGGCTGATTGTCTCTGAACTCTCCACTAGAGGGCAGCACAGAGCCCCATGGAGGTGGTGATTTTTATAAGTTGCTGAACAGTTCGTTCCTCTTGCTCCAGTCCATTGGCGGGGCTTTCTTAGAGGCTCTCTTCTGACGGGCCCGTTCTCTGGCCTGAGCCAGAGACATGCTGAGGCCCAGGCCGTCATCGGTAGGGGACGACTCCGGCTCCGGGCTCCTCTCAACCTGCACACATGCATTTAGGGTTAGAGTTCAATTCAGATGCATTGCTGCAGGGTTTTTTTTCTGTGACTCCTACCCGTGGAGGCGGTGAGCTGCGTTCTGCTGCTGGCTGGGAGGCGTTGGATGAGGCACTGGAAGCGTGGGAGCTCACTGACAGCGTATGCTTCAACTGTGATGCTACCTGCCAAACACAGATCCCAAGAACACTACGTTTGAATCGGGGAAATACAACTTAATACAAAGCAGGAAGGAGATTTAAAGAAATATCTGAAAAACATAATGAGTAGCAGCAAGAAATCCCTTAAACTGTTCTTCTGTTGCTTCAACAAAGCAGGTTCTTCTAGATACCATGAGGATCCAAACAGGATCCAGCTCTTCAAACTAACCAAATCCTTTTCTGATGGTAGGTCATGAGCATCTGTTTCTCAGATATGGCTCATGTGCTGATTGTTAATTTAAAACTGAAGCTGTTAAATCAGGTTTCCATCACAAAGATATCAATGGACTGCAACCTGAAAAGATTTACAGCTAATAAATTAAACCTACTAAAGCTATATAAAAAAAAATTCAATATAAATTCTCTAAATACTTTAGAAAAACCTAAGGTTTCTACAGTAAGCCTGGTATTTGTTATTATGATGTAGAGGATCTAAAGCGCCACTAAGCAGCTCCAGAGCTACAGTTTCCAGACCCCTGCTCTATGGCATTCATGCATCTACCTGTTTAAATGTAAGGTGAAGATGCTTCTATCACGTAAACAAAACATAAAAGAAGCTACTTCTGGTACCAAATATATCCATTTTTTTCCCCTCCATCTTATTTTTGAGCCCCTGATTGAACACTCCTCTATTAGCAGTTTTATTCCTAAACAAAGTCACCAACAGCCATAGACTTTGTTTATTCCATCTCTTTAATCTCTAGTCAGGTTCAGCAGATAGACGCTCATATTAGGCCTGGTTCTGGTTTCCTGATCTTTTCCCCGTTGGCACATGTTGCAGTGATTGCTGCAAAGTCTATGAACCACCGGAGTTTCCTTAGATTGACCTATTTTACCAGATGTCACTTTAAACTTAATTAGACTAAATTATAATTAAAACAAAATTTTAATAAATGTAATTAATTTCAAACCTGTAAGTGTGAGTGGACTGATTTCACTACAAATAAACCTCTACTTAAAAATGCAATTAGTTAAAAAAGGACATTTCTATATCTGTAGGAGTAAACAAGTTTTTCAAAATAAAATAAGGTAAAATAATTTTTTCATCCCCTCCACCTTTACCTCTAGACATTTAAACACTCAAAAATTGCAGCATCATATAGTCAATCTAGTAAAGCATCATAACCAGAAGCACTGAGATAGAGCAGAAAGTTTGGAAGCAGTTCTTTATGTTTATGAATTAAATTGTAATAGGGTGGTCCAGGGCGACGTCCAGCCTTGAGTTCATTCTTTGACCTCATGACAGACATCCGTTGATCACTGCTGTCCAGCAGGGGGCTGCAAAGACTTTCAAAAACTCTGGATCCCCACCTTTAATCCTCATCTCATGACAGGCTAATTAAAGCACATATGCTTGTCTAATGTGTTCTCTTCAAAACATGACCCCTTTAAAAAACAGCCTTAAGGCTGGACATGGCTGCTCTCCTATAAATAACCTGGAGTTCAGGTTGGTGGACAAACACGGCTGTTCGCTGTGCAACATCACAGCAACGACATGTGAAGCTTTCTCACAAACAGAATCAGAAGGTTTCTGTGGCTTCTGGTCTCTGTAGCCAGAATGGAGCCGTATGGTGATAAAACCCGGGGGCTGTGAGGTCAGAGGTGGCGGCATGGCCGCGTTACGTAACAGCTGCTGAATGAGGGATTGTTATGCTGCAGGAACGCAGAAAGTTCCTGCATGTGAGAGTGTATGAGTAGCCTCTGCTAGATACCTCGTTAGCATAATCCTCAAATTAAAGCCGACACAATCCCATGATCCTCCAGGACGCAGAAAGAGAGCGGGGGACAGAGAGTGGTGAGCTGTTGTTGCCATGGTGAGAGGTCAGTTACGGTGTCAGCAAAGCCAATTGGATGGTCCTGCGTTGTTTGTGTGAGTGGGATGTGATAAACTTCCATCCTCTGACACACTTGGCTGAGACAAACGGTTAAGAATGCTTTCCAGATCTTCTTATCTGCTCCCAGGATCACCAGAGGTCAGCAGGCTCGTCCCAGACCACTATCTATAGGAATGTGTTCAGAGCTGGGAGGAAGTATTTGACCACTGACATTCTTCAGTCTCACACATCAAAATGTTACAGATCATAAAAAAATACAAAGATAAACATATCTGTATTCCTCCCATGGGTGAACAGTTAATTACACCAAGAGGTCATCAACAATTGATTCAGAAGGGCACAAAAGATACAAGAACAATGACTAAATACTGCAGGCCTCACTGGCCTCGTTTCAGAGGGTCAGAGGGAATTCCCTGAGTGATGGGCTGTACAGTGATGCAGTGGGTAGCACTGCTGCCTTGCAGCAAGAAGGTTCCGGGTTCAATTCCTGGCCTGGGTCTTTGTGCATGGAGTTTGCATGTTCTCCCTGAGCATCTGTATTGCCCTGCAATGGACTGGTGACCTGTCCAGGGTGGACCCTGCCTCCCGCCCATTGACAGCTGGAGATAGTCACCAGCACCCCTCGTGACCCTAGCAGGGATAAGGGTGACGGAAAATGGATGGATGGATGGGAATGAGGGATAAGCACATACCAGGAAAAAGGGCCCCTATCAGGGTTCAGAACCGAAACCCAGGATCAGAACGGCCTCGTGTCTCCTCTTAGCAGAATCATTAAGGTTGCATTCAACTGAAACAGTAGTGAATTTCAAGTTCTCTCCTCCTTAGGAGATGACTAAAGGGAGGAACTAACGTTCTGCTCTCACACGTTCCCCATGTTCACCGTGGTCAACAACGTTGCCCATATCATGAATTTTCAGTCTCCCTTAGCATCAGTTAGTTTTCAGTGGCGTTTGAAGCTTTTAAATTTTAAATTGGTGAGGAGATGCCATACCTTTGAGGCATTAATTAAATATAAAAAACCACCGATCGCTCCGAGTTCACCGCCTTCAGCAAGCAGCGAGTGCTGCTGCAAGGCCCTCCTCCATCGAAAGCAGTCAGTCAGCGTTAAACTCTGCCTGCAGTCAGAGGACTGATCTGACTTTTACGTTTTCCCATATTAGTGGCACATGAGCAAAGTTTACACTGATTCCACCCTGGATTACAAAGCAGTAATTGATTTATTCACAGCCTTTTACATGCTGTGGTGGGTTCTGCCATCTTTTGATTCAATTTGATCAGTCATATAAGTGGTTTGGGTTCAGGTAAAATATTAATGAACACTTGAGTTGATTTATTTTACTTTTAAGCATATTAAAAGTGTTTTTAGTCTCTTTTTGTCCTGCCAATTTTGATATTCCTCTCTCCTCAAATTATTTAAGACACTTTTTATTAAAGATATTGCGTTAAGGCCTTGTGTTTATATTCAAACTTATTTATATAGTGCTTTTATTGCATTATTCATATTAAAATAATTATTCATTTTGTAATTTTATTCTAGAGTACTTTTGTTCCAAATGATTCAAAAACAAACCAGTCAGTGCTCATTATTTGTTTGCTTTAAGGTGCTAGTACGACACCCGTACTAGTACCTATAGGAGAGTTCTAGGGCCAAAAGCACTGTGGAGTGTAAATATACCTAAGAACTTGTTTATATTTGCTTAATATCTTTTAATAAATATATGGACAGAGATAATTAAAGTGAAGCTTCAAGTAAGAAATTCAGTTATAAAATAAAAATATAAAATACATAGCCTGTAAAACCAAATTTTATACTAACAGTTAAACATAGTGTTGGTGGTGTCATTGTCTGGGTCTGCAAAGAAACTCTGTTTGTGACCTAAAGTCAGAGAACAGCAGGGATCTGCAGTAGGATAATGATCCAAAGTAAGCGCAGCAGCAAGTCTACCTCTGAATGGTTAAAATAAATCTATAAAGGTTGTGGTTTGATAAATTAAATGTCAGATTGACCTCTGAATGAGATGTTGTGTTATTACGTTAAATCTGCTTTTTATGTTGAAAACCCCTAAAAAAATGTCTGACATTCACATAAGGTGAAATTGGTTTGGATAGCAGCTTCGTCTGAAAATGTCATTTTGACAAAAAAAAAGGAAGAAATCTAAATGGGGGCGAAGCAACTGGTTTCCACAGCAGTCTGAGTGTGTTTCATTTACCTCCTCGTCGGATCCTCTCTCTGACCCGGGCTCAGGAAGTGGTCCTACAGGCACAGAATTCATGTCAGTTTCTATCAATCATCTCTCAAGCCAACTACCCCCCAGGCCAGTGCAGCAGGGAGTTGTCTTACCTCTGATGTAATCCTCGGTGGGCTCGATGTTGCACCTAATGAAGAATTCCTCGGCTTCGGCATCGACCACCAGCAGCCTGGTTTCGTTTCCGCCGGCTTTGATTGCCGCCACCACCTCTGAGTGATGCAACCCAACCACTGACTTCCCGTTGACCTGAGGGGACACGTCCGACAGATACTCAGCTAAAATTTACATAAAAAAAATAAAAAATAAACAAAAATAAAAAATTCATCAGCTGCCAAAATTTTTTAGCAGCATCCTTTTGTGGAATTTCATCAAGCTGTCTTGGTCTCAGGAGCTTGTTTTCTACAGGCATGGTATTAAAGGTGTAGTGGAGGATTTTCTTTTTCTGTGTGGATCATCAATTTAAGTGGTCCTCCTAATTGTTTACATAAAGTCGTCCTACGTGCTTGCCCCATTAGCTGCCTTTTTCTGCACATGCGCACTTTCAGGCATATTTGTGTGGTGAGCTACGGCTTCAGACAGTCATTAAAGCTTGCCTTTCTCCCTGCGGTTCTTTGAAAATGGCCGAGGGTCGTAAGAGAGATTGTAAGAGAAGAGGCAGGTATATCCCGGAATGCTTTGTGCAGAGAGCTCTCCTCGCACAGCATTATAGGATTTGCTGTCACAGCGGCCCGCTGTTGCTAACCGTCAGCGGTGACTAATAACAAAGATGGTGCAGGCAAGATGGTGTACGTGACAAACGGCGAGTTAACTGAGTTCATTATAAAGTCCACTATATATTCCTCGCTCTATACAGCGATTGAGGGATTTAGGGGTTAGAGCGGACATTCAGACAAAGTAAGCTCGTATGAGCAATGCAAACAGCAACATTTAAACAGGGCGTGCAAAATAAAAAAATAGGCTCGTGCATGCTGTTGCACGTGTTTAACTAGTGTTCCCTCTCGGGAGCGGATACAGGGTTGTGCATGTGCATTTTTCTTCTTCACTACACCTTTAATCCTAGTATCTTAACAGCTTTTTTTTAAAACTCTAATCGTAGGTATGTTCTTGCTTTAACCTTGTGATACAGAGTTAGAAAGTACTTTGACTTAGGTTGGTTTATTGGTTTAGTGGTTGGTTTAGTGGTTTAGTTGGTTTAGTGTTGGCACTCCAAAAGACTAATGGAATCTCTCAAATTTTTGTCTTCAAACAAATGATTCTTCGGATGTCTCAAACAAGTTTGAGCCAGTCTGCTTTACTCAGTTTTTTTCTTTTCCATTTTCTTCAGAATTTCCTTCTACTGAGAGCTACAAAAGGAGACAAGGATTCCAAGAACATCTGACGCTCTTTCATTCCAGCCAACAAGGCCTGAAATCTTTAGTCCATTTGCTGCTAGATTAAGACTCAGGTGGCTATGATTTGATTTTAAACAGATTGATTTAAATTAATTACTGCTGGCTTTGAACTGAAACTAACTGAGCCAAATTCAGTACAAGGCCTTCTGTACCTTGAATGCATCACGTCCCAACGAAACATTAGAATTTCCCTATCATTCTATTTGTCGTGTGTCATATGGGAACATTCTAAAAATGTTGCCCAGCACACAACACACTGCCTTGCCTGTTTTTATTCTCACTTTCAGAAGTCGACTACAAGCACTTTAAAAAAACTTCCCCAAAGGTTTTCCCTGTGATATTAATACAGAAGCTGAAAAGTTCTAGTTTAAGTTTGGATTCAACTATATAACCTGTTTGCACATGTTGGACTGGTATGCAAAGTAAAACCTGAGGCACCACAGAGGCAAGACCCAAACTGCCGCGGCTAGAGTTAGGACGATAAATAAATAAGGAGATGCAGTGTTTTTCCAGTTTTTCTCCTGTTTACCAGCTCCATGATGAATCCAGACTAAATTTAAAACCTGTCTTACATATAAAGTGCTGTCTCTGAAGTAATGCTCCTATAAGCCTAGGCTGCTGGAGGACATGCTGACCACTTTCCTCTCTCTGTTATGTTCTCCTACATGATTCAATGATACATACCTTAAAATTATAGTTTTTTTTTTCTCTCTGTAAAAAATAGTGTTAACTTTTTCATAAATAAATAAAGAGTACTACTGTATAAGCTAGAAATGTTCCCATACAACTCTTTCATTTCTGATATTCCAGTATTCCAGCTCTGAGTATTCACTGAAACCAATATAGACCAAGTAGGACATCAGCATGAATCATACACTCGTTAATATTTGTTTTGCAGTGTGGAATATTAGAAAAGGTTTAATTAACTGCGGTTAATATAAAAAAGAGAGCAATTGTCAAGAACAAAGGTCTGAGAACAACTGACCCATTGATAAGTGGTCATATATATATATATATATATATATATATATATATATATATATATATATATATATATATATATATATATATATATATATGGCTAATGTCGAGCAGATTTCAGATAGCATTATCAGTTTGGGACATCGCTAGTATTAGCAAGGATCTGTTAGCTGTGTTTGTTTTCAAGGCAAAGCCATTTACACAGCTACTGCTGCTGTTAACAGTATGCATTCAGCTAGTCTTAGAAAATAAAAGCTACTAATAGACCTCACATTGGTTGCAGGACATCTTAAGTCATAATAAGCCTAGGTTTGTTAGACGTGTCTCCCTGTTAAAAGGGAGTCATTCTTCTCTAGCATCTCCACATGCTAAGTCGGAATGATTGCACAAAGGTCAATAGAATAACTGACGCACCCGTCCCAATTTGACTAGACCAATACTTTTATACCAGCTACAGCCATAAGATGAACTTCAATTTATTACAGCCAGGACACAATTTAAATTCATTCCTGCGTTTTTTTTTTTCTTGTAGAATGCCTGAATAGCCTTACAAAAAATAAAAAAATTGCGTTAAGGGGAAATGATTAAGCTCCATGAAAGAAACGGAACAATGTGACAAGTAGATTAGCATCAAGGCCTCCCTGCAGATTTACAGCAGGGGGCATTTCAGTGTTCGATATTTGGTAAATGTTTAACATGTTGGGAAATGCATAACAGGGTCAGTAAATAATGATAACATCCAAATGAAGAGATAAACGGTGTAACAAAATCATAAAAAGCAGGTCAATAAAATTACAACACAAAAGGTTTTACTGCAGAAATCGCATCATGGTTATTCTTTACCTGCAAGATGAGAGCCTAACAGGCTACAAGGGTTATTTGCAATAAAGATTTGTTTAAACCAGATATGTTTACCACATGTTTCTGGACATATCTGCTGCACAGCTGAAAGGAAAATTCGGCCAGTAGGGAAAAAAAACCTACAACGTGCACCACTACACATTTAACTGCTAGGCTCAATAAATGGCTGCACTTTGTACCAGGCACCAGGGAGGATAAGGTCCATGAAGTAACCTGTCTATGCTGAAACAGAAAAGGCAGATTACTCTGTAACCAGTATCTGTTAGAGGAACCGTTTACTATTTCATATGAAGGTTTCTGATCTTTCAATGCAGAAAACATCTATTTTAAATCTTACAAGAGATCCTACAATAACATTTTTATTCTAAATGCATTAAACATAATACTTTCCAGTATTTTTTAAATTTAAAACAAAATTGTTCAAAAAATGTGCTTACTATAAACCAATAATCTGTCAATTTCTATTCTATTCAATTTCAAGTAGATTGCTTACACACTCTTAAAAATAAATAACCATCAATGCTAAGAATATGTATCCAAGCTTCCTAATGTAATTCTCATGAATTTGATCCTTAGGAGAGTCAGAAACTATAAACCTTGCTTAGCTTTGGCATAAAAAAGTGTAATAACTAACTTAAAGAGAAACAAAAATCCTATTCTACCTCTCCTAACTAAAGCCTGGCTTTGTTTAGGCTGATATTGATTGAATAAATATGTCCAGAAAGAATTTGGTACTTGTTGGACCATTTGAATTTAGATATTAGGAACTAAGTACAGTCTAAGGTTGCAACTGAATACCTCAAATAGGTGAGAACACTTACGCTATAGAGGAAATGTGCCAGGGGTCGCCAAAATAAGTCTATCCAAATAGTGTTAGCAGCAAGGAAGGATCTAGGATCATGCAGTAGGCTTCCCAGCTCCCTTAATTTAGCATAGAGAACTACTGACAGGAGCTATATGACGGCCCACAGTCTTTTGCATGACAGGACCTAACACAAAAAAATACAATTTTATTCTAGTAAACTCTGTATGAAACATGCTAATGTACACAACTTTATATACTTCCTGTTTTAGAATGTAGAGTGCAAATCTCAACATTTGTGTAATTTTGTTTTTTGTAGTTCTTTTCCTGAAGGCAATAATCCCAATTTAACTGCTTTCATTGTCCGTAGCACCTTTCCAGCTCTGGATAGTGTCCTGGCTGTTGACCCCGCGAAAGGTAAAAAGATAGGAGCAAGGAACAGGAAATGAGAACTCCAATTTGTAGTATTTAGACAAGGTGTTTATTTTGGTTATATTAAAAAAAAATATATATAAATGGATTGACCTTATTTTCCAGCCTTGAACTTTGGCTCATCAATTAAAATAAATTGCCAAATTGGGCCGCCCCTCCAGGGAGCTTAATAAAGTTTTTCCAACCACTCTTATGGACAGAAGAGTATAAAAAAAACAGCACATAGGTTTCACAACATGCTTCTACAAACATTGGTGAAAAAGATGCTCAGCAAATTCTAGCAGGATAGTGCAATTAAATGTCACCAGAGCAAAAAGCCCAGTTTAGAAATTTGTTTACTGCTTAATGTTCCACATTCAGTTGTTAGTGGGGCGATAAAGCAGAAGTGATTGCGAATGGCAGCAACTCTGACACAAAGTGGTCGACCTAGTTTGATGCCTTGGGTCAGCAGATACGGCACTCAGTTAGTCTTAGGGAACAGTGCAAAGACATCTTCATGAAATGTGTTTTTGTTTTTTAAGTTGCCATGCAACAAAACCAGCAGACACAGTTGAGGGAAGGCCCCTTGTTGTTCTTAAAACGTCTGTCCACCAAAGACATGGATGGGTAAGTCTGGTTAGGCAGAAAATCAACCCATCAGTACCCCTTTGGAAGGAGTACAATTGGTACATGTCTTAAGGGCTGGTTATACTCCTGCAGCAGTGTGTCGCAGTGAGCTTATCAAGGGTATAGCACAGATATTTTTGATTTATGCCCAATTTTGAAGTGTGGTCTGGGGACAGTTACGATCTAGCTGTTGTTCTAGATACGGCCTGGGCGGTGAGGAAATGGAAAAACGCAAGGGGCAAGTTTGTGCGACAATGGCGAGACCTGATGGTGAAAAAGAGCGGGGATCCAGGTGGAAAAAGGGTCCCAGCGTTCGCGCGCACCTCACTTTTCTAGCTGGTCCATCTTCATGAGTCGTTTTCCACAATGGCGGTCATACAAACAAAACAAACCGGTAAGGTACCAAACAGGAAATACACTTAGTGTAGAGTGGATGTAGATTTGGCCAATCAGAGGGCTCCCGTCTGCGGCACTGTCACCTACAATTTCACAGAGGTGCAGCAGAGTGTCTACGGCAGGGGCGGGGGCATATCTGCGTTAACTGCAATACACACAAAGACGACCTGGTATAAATTGGCCATTAGAGCTTGTAAGTGACAATAACAGCAAATATGACCCTACATCACAGAAAAACTATGGATTAAGAATGGTAAGTCACTCTCATGTTTATATGTACTTTAATGTTTGGCCTAAATAGACTAAATGGTTTCTCAGATTCACAGTAATCTTTGACAGCATTGAGAAGTAAAAAATGGAAGGCTCCCTGATGGAAAATGCTCTGATTATGAAGCATGGCCCAAAAACACACTCCTAGAGCAAGGAACAATCAAGCACTCAGGCCGATAGGCACTGAGGAATTCTTGTGGGAGTAAAGTAAGAGGTGGAAATAAATACAGGATGTCTTTCAGTCTCACCAGCTCCCACACTGACTGTAAACGTCAGCAGGTGGTACAGAACAATCTTGTGGTAATAAACTCCCCACCCCAACACAACATTCAGCACATTCCCTATCAGCACATCAATCTTGGTGGTAGGGTTGTAAGGTTAAAATCCATCTCTGGCTGAATACGATAAGACTTAGAAGCCTTTTCAAGCAGGCTGTACGATCAACAGAAATGCAGCAACAGGGGTACACACTTCTAAAAGAGATTTCCAATTTTCCACTACTGTAATAGGATTACAGCTGACTTACATGAGGCACAAACACAGTAAAACACCCAAGCAGGTAGTATGAGGGAAAGAGAGTGTAAGGCAGACCTCGAGGATCTTGTCCTGCGGTCGGAGGCCTGCTCTCTGCGCCGGGGAGTCATCGTCCACGGCTCGGATGTACTGTCCTGGCTTGTTCTTCTCGCTGTGCAGGTTGAAGCCATAGCCGCTGGACCCCTTCCTCATGTGACAGAGCCGAGGCCGCGGCCCGTCCCTCTCCACCTGCAGACATATGTGAAAAGTCAGCTCAGCGTAACCGTTTCTTTAAACAGAGCGTTCCATGTATTGATTCAACAAAAAATTCATGTGGTTTGGTCTCATAATTCTGAATACACTCCAAGCAGGAGATTCTCACACCTTTAAAAAAAGTGACACCGAAATAAGAGACTGTAGGATCAGGGTCCTTATGAGTACCTTTCATGACGAATCCATGCTGGGATTGTAGGGCATAAGCAGCATGCAACTTTCCAACCTCTTTATTTTGGAATCATTTCCCTCCTTAGAATTCCAGCAATCATTAGGATAACAGAGAGTTTGCTTAGGGGAATGTGGAAAACATTGTAACAGCAGCCAAACTGAGTATTTAACACATTTCTATTAGCACTGTGATTACAGATATATCTCCTCTGGTATAGACTTTATCATCCAGAGTATGTCTGGGAATACATTAGCTAAGGCAAATCAGCCGTCTCATCCAGAAGGGGTTGTTTTTGTTCATTTTTTGCTGCTTTGCGTTAATTCAGGCAGCAACATCATAATCTACTATACTGAGCACTCCACACAAAAAACAATACAACAAAAGCTAACTCACCAGTTTTTTTAACCTATATTTGTAAAACTTTTTAAGGTTTCTGATGGTTTACAGCTAAAGGAAAAAGTACAGGACGTACAGAAAGCCTCATCTGTCAATGGCTAATAAAGACAGAGGTGCAAGAAGACCAAATATATACTATATCACAAGCTTAATTCACACTTACTGGTGTTTAAACCAGTGTTGCTGCAGGTGAGAGATCTGTGGTGAACATTTTATTTAGTTTGCATTTCCACATTAAGGAAATGCTTCTTTATAATCTTTATTCTATTTCAAAGAAAATATTTTCCAATAAAACCTTCTTGTCCATTTTGTTGTTTTCCTTTGCATCTTTCGCTTATTAAACCACACTGCATTGGGAGAATGAGACCCAACGTTTCAATGAAACTTCCCTGTATAAATGCAAAAATAATCATAGAAAAATACATTATATCTCGAAGGTTAAAATCAAAACTGAGGAGAATCAAACCGTTACCTATGTTAACCCTTATCTTGGAATAATAAACGTAGAGAGTTGCTCCATATGCAGAGAAGAAATTGAAAGACATTGCTGAAAGGGGTGCCAAACATCATGGGCTTTTACTGGCCATTTGGTTTAACATATGGAGTCAGTGATACGTTTCTATTACATCAGCTTAAATTTGTCAAGGTGTATTTATAAAATAATAAAAATTCAAGCTTTTAAAAGATCCAGTGCTATAAAACACACAAAGCCAGGGCTCTGAAAAGGATCAGCTGCCAAAAAAGGGTATGTTATAAAGGCTTTCCAGAGTAAACGTCTCTGCATTTTCTCCTTTTCAGCTTTCCTTCAAACATTCTCTGTGAGATTTAATATCTGGGACAATGAAATCTGTAAGGTGTCGGCATATTTGGGAAGTGTTCATTTTACTGGCTAAATATCCAATTAACCTGCAAATAGTGAAATCGGGATATCTAAGATGCATCCGCAAAGGATTCATTTGTCAGGCTGGGTAAGACTCGATTTAGATGGGAAAAGAAAACAAGTAGAATGAATATGCTGGAAGTTTTGGATCAGAAAGAAACTGATTGCTGTAGGTTTGACAATGTGCTTTTATATTTAAGACTATCATATAAAATAAGATGCTTTTTCAGTTACAGATATATTTTATTTTAATTCTTGAAAGCTTAAACCTAACCCTGACCCATAAACAAATATTGATACAGGTTTGATAACAGGTTCTGTGTTAGCTGCCATGGTCACTAAAGACTATTTCACAGCTAACAAAGCAGTCTGGACAACAGTTGATCATTTCTGCCCCAAAATCTAAAAATCCTTGGATTCTCCAAATTGATTATCCTGCACAATAAAGAGATCAAATAAATGACTGCAAATTTTGTAGTAAGAAATTGTTGGCCTTGTCGGGTTTGTTCAAAGTTTACAGATTATAGAAAACCAAGTTTGTGATTTTTAATTAATATTTTAATATTCTTGGCTTTCCCCAAAAAATATCAACAGAAAACCTTTTTTTGTTTTTGTTTGAAGAAGCCTAAAAACAGTCATCCTGTCTGTTAAACTGGATGGAACATAAGCTAATGAATCCACCTTGAATCTACTCCATCCATTGCTGTCTTATTTGTCCAAGTATGACAAAAATCAGTAGGTCCAAATAATGTGACTATGTCTGGCATCAAATAGTTCTCCTGTTCACTATGCATGGTTTAAGAATGCCAAACCAGAAACCATCCATCCATCCATCCATCCATCCATCTTGGGTTAACAGAAAGCATACCATTTTTTTTTTTACTTTATGTCAGGCACACACAACTGGATTAAAACTACTTTTTGGGTCAGTTGTAGGGTTGTCACGATACTAAATTTTTCAACTCGATACCGATACTAAGGAAAATATACGATACTTGATACCATTTTCGATACCACAAGGATAAAATTTCCAAATTTCAACAGAAATATTTTGATTAATAATTAAAATACAATAAATAAATACAATAAACAATAAGAACAACATCTCGAGGTTGTTTGCTGTGCACCGTATTTAGCAAGCTTGATAAAAAACTTACAAAATTAAAATTAAGTTTTCCTTACTTGGCTACGCTTTACACACATAACAATGACACTAGCCAAACCGGTTAAGAAACAGAATATAATTCCCAGCAGCTGCACCTGTTACAAAAAGTCTGAAACTGAAAAGTGCACAGAATTATTCAATCACACAGTGTTCTGAAAGTGCATTTTCCTCTATTCTGCACTTTAGATGAATGACTGTTTAGGTGCCACTGGTACTCAATACTTTTGAAAATGAGTATTGTATCCGGATACAAC